CAATTCAATAAAAAAAAAAAAAAAAAGTACTAGGTCTAGAATACCTAACCAATAAAAATATAATAATAGTAAATGATTGTTATTGTAAGATTCACACTTGGGTCCAAAATAGACCCAAGAGTGGACTTGGTCTTTTTTTTATTGCCACATAAGTTAGACTAGGTCCACTTTTAATTGCATTGTGAAATATTTTTTTATAGACTAGATCTATTTCCTACATGACATGTGATTTTTTTAAAGAGACCCAAAGCATTGTGTGTGCTCTTAGAGGATTATAAATTTATTTTTATTTTTAAATAAATATGCATAGTTATATTGTGACTAAGTTTATTTTATTTTGTGAAGCACATACCAAGTTGATTTTGCAGTATTCATAGCAAAGATCAAATCCATGGAAAACCAAAGAAATATACATATGCATTCAAGAATATTATAAATAGCATCTCTTTTATAATATCTAAAATCCACGGGCATTTATAAAAATATCACTCTTACATTCTTCATCGTAACACATAATCAAACTTAAAAAAGGGTTGATTTTATTATATTTTTTCTTAAAAAAAAAATCTCTATTTTTCACTAATCTAACCCAAACTTTTATTTATTTATTTGTTCTATCATCATCCCATCCCAGTAATTATTATACATGAATCAATGGAAAAAATAACTTTACCTTCAAGCATGCCATGAGGCCACCAAACCAACTTGTGACCTTCCTCAAGCTTCTCATTTTCTTGCTCCTATCCGACAATGGCACGACGACTGAAAAAGCTCGTCTTGGAACGAGTGGGGACCACAACGCGCTCTCCTTGTAGTCAAAATCGAACTCCAAAGCATCAAAGTATTTTTCGAGGAGCTTTTCGGACAATGATTTGGAGACCAATTGAACCGAATTCCCACATGATATTGATCTTTGTGGTTGGTTTGCAGACATTCTTAGCCAGATTGTGATCAAGGGAAAAAAGCATAATAGTACATAACTTGAGGAATATATGCAAGATTAAATAGTGGAATAATGTAGCCACAATGTATTGTGGTATATTAATACTACATGATTCTTTGTTTCACTATGTGTAGATTATATATTTAATGAAAGAATATTATTTTTTTTGATTGAGAGTTTGACCCGGATTATTGAGATAAGTTTAAGCAAAATCAAGATCTTTTAATTACTAGCTAGTATCCACTAATTATATACATATATATATATGTGTATATATTCTAAAATGTGATGGTAACACTAACTAGAAAAACTATCAATATAAACTTTTAAGGCTTGGGAGTTAGGAAATACAGAATAAACCAAATTAACCTTGTTTAATTGTTTAATTTTCTTCAAGTTTGGCTCCCAAATGCATCAAGACTTGAGCATCTGTTGATACTGTCAGCTTGATTATCTCAAAGAT